GAGGGAGCCCCCGGGGTGATGGAGCCCTGTGGCTGGATCTGGAGGCTGAGCCACAGCGAGGTGGTGGCCTTTGCTGCTGCCGGTGGCTCCTGGCTGGGCGCGGTGTGACCCGGGGCAGCGCCTGCTTAAACCCATTTAAATCCAGTCACGGGCTGATGGCCCCCGGGGGGCTGGTGGCAGCGGGAGAGGGGACACTGCCGTGTGCTCTGCAGCCACTCACGCGGCTCGGCTGCACGGTCTGGGGCTTCTAGGCAGCAGGAAGGCACCAGGTTGGTGGTCCCGGGGGGCAGGAGGGTTCTGAGGGGGTTGTGGTTTGAGCACAGGCTTCAGGGAGCTGCGTTTGGGAGCACAGTGGGTGCCTGTCCTGTCTGCGCCCTGAGCTACGGCTGAGTGGGGAAACTGAGGCAGGTGGGGCTGGGAGCTGCTCCCTCAGCACCCTCTGAGGACTGGGAGGGTGGCTGGGAGGCTGTGTGGGTCGTGCTGAAGGAGTTTGCTCGCAGAGAGAACCCTTGGGGTTGGTGTTGGTGCCCAGAGACCCCCACGGGCAGTGGTGCCAGCACAGAAAGCCCCATGGGTGGTGGGTGTGGGGTGTTCCATGGGTGCATGGGGGGCAGTGGGAGCCCCGCAGCTGTTGGGTCACATCCCACCTCACCAACACAGCACCTCTTGGTTTGTGAGGGGGTTTTGTGCCCCTGAGGAGGGGGGATCTGCTAAGTACTGGTTGAGAGAAGGTGTCTTGAGTTTGGCCAGTGCTCCACCTGGTGTGGGGAATAATTGCTCTGTGGGTCCGTCCCCCCCCCTCCCCTGGGTCCAAGGATGTTGCTCTTGGACGTGCTTTTTCCCCTCAAGAATAGGGGATTTGCACCTGCTCCCCGGATGGGGATTCTGGGATGGAGCTGTGGCAGAGCTCCCCTCCCACCAGCTGTCTCAGCCCCTCTCCCTCCCTCCCTCCCTCCCTGCCCCACAGGTGATGCTGGTGGGCGACTCGGGGGTCGGCAAGACCTGCTTGCTGGTGCGGTTCAAGGACGGTGCCTTCCTCGCTGGCAGCTTCATTTCCACAGTTGGAATTGACTTCAGGGTAAGTGCCCAGGGGGCTCCTTGACCCCTGCCCGCCAGGTCTGGCAGGTGAGTGACAACTCCAAGGGCTTCAATCTCATCCCCAGCTATGTCAGCTCCACCTATGGCACCTCAGCACTGGGCAACCATCTGAGGGGATAATGTGGGGAATGGTGGGGCAGAAGGGGAGACAGGTCATGTCCTGCAGTGCCCTGGTGTGGGCTGAGAGCATCCTTTGCCAGGTGGAAAGGACTCAAAGGCAAACAGAGACCTCAAAGCCTTTTCTTGGCCATGTTTCCCTGGTGGGACCTTGCTGGGGAGCTGGGGCCAGGGAGGCTGCCCAGGGACACTGTGGTCCCGGCAGCCCTGGGCAGGGGGGATCTGCAGTGTCACCACAGGCACCCCTGGGGTGGCAGCAACGGGGATGGTGACTTTAGATATGGCATCAAAGAAACCTAATGTCAGTCGTGAAGGGCCAGCGGGAGAGCTTTGCTACCAAAGTAGCAGCTGGCCTGGCTTGGGTCCCTGGCCTGAGGATTGGGTGCCCCCCATCCCTCACCAGCTCCCTAACCACCTGCTTCCCCTGAGCCATGAGCTCACTGCCCTCAAGAGGTCTGGCTGGTGCTGCAGGCTCCTGGGGGAGGCTCAGCCTGTGGGACCAGGGACGTGCCCGGTCCCTGTACCCCCCTGCCCTGCTGTCAGGGCAACACCTGCCTTGTCTCACCATGTCATGGTGCCATTTGGCACCATAGTGGTGGTGTGTGGGTGAGGAGCTGGTGGTGATGCCACACACCAAGGTCACATCTTCCTGACTGCCCATTCTCTTGGATCTTACTTTCTTGGAGGATTTCTGGGAACTGGGTGTCTCTTGTAACCCATGATTTCATGATTGTGAACAGTAACTTGCTGGGACAGTGACAAGTGGAGAGCTGAGGGGCAGTTGTTGGAAATAAAGTGATGTTCTTCCCTGTGAGTAAGCTTTGGGTGCAGGGGGATGCTGAGGGCTGCAGCAGTGCCTTGGTGAAGCTGGCAAATGGGGAGCCCATAATTTTATACAAAGGTAATTACATGGTATTTCAGGTGTTCTTAAAATGAAAAGCGTTTCATTGCTGATTGCAATGATTGATACCAAGGGCAGTCATAAAACCCTGTGACTTATTGATTAGAGCACTGAAACGACTGCTACGGAGAAGCAATTAAATTAGGGTTAATTTACTTCAGTAATAGAGCTGCTAGAGCTACCTAGGCTCAAAATGGGCAGATTATACAGCAGGGAAGATCATGTGTATGCCCTGAAACTCATTATTATCACCTTAGTAAGGCACTCAGTTTTTTTGAGGACATGGAAATAGTTTTTGCTGGAACATCTCCCTTTGCACGAGGATAATCCTGTTTGCAGAGCTGTGTAGTTGTGCCCCTCCTGCCCTTTGTGTCACGGTGCAGGTGAAGCTCGGGGAGGTGGCACTGGGGTTTGATTGGTGTCTATGTAAGAGCAAAGCTGTCAGGTCACAGCTCCTGCTCTCTGTGACCCCAGGAATTTAGCATCGGGTTTTCTGGGTGAAGCGAGTGAGGCTGTTGGTGACTGAGGGGGGGGCTGTGGTGGGGGAGGGTGGGCACAGGAGGAGGTGCTGGGCAAGCACAGGGCGTTATTTTGGGGGGTGGTTTTTTTTCGGCGAGGTTTGTGGCAGTTGCTGGTGGTGGGGACTGTGGGGAGGTCCCCAAGGCCGGGGCGTGTGGCAGCTGCGCTCCCGGGCAGGAGGGACCTTGGGAGCTGCCAGCAGCCTGGGGGAGGGCTGGGGACACTGCAGGATGGAGCTGCCAGCTCTTGCCCTGCTTTTTGGGGCTATCTCTGCTCCTCCTGGTGCTGGTGGCTGTGAAGCACCCTGGGATGGGCTGGGGGGCAGCACCCACGCCCACCCAGCTGCTCTCCAGCTCCTGTCCCAGGTCATCCCCTGGTCCCAGCAGGTCCCAGGTCAGCTGCTCATTTTCAGGGATGTCAAACCATTAGACACAAGCAAAGCTATGGATAATGGATTACGAAGGCCTGAGCAAATGCAAATTAATAGAAATCCATTTAAAATTAATCTGGCATTAGTTTCTAATGGCCCCCTAGGTTGTTTCCCTCCTACTGTTTCATCTTCTAGAGAACCTCTTGAGTTGTGTTTGTTTATCATCATCTCTTAAACAAAGAAGGATGTTTGTCTTAATATGTTTGGAAAATAAACCACAGATTCTAGGGAAACAAAAATGGTCCTAGTGTGAAAAAAATGCATCAAGATGGCACCTGTTGGCTTCCAGATTTTGAGAGGCAGAGTCCTTTGGCTTTCCTTCCTTTGAAAACTGGGTTTAATGGGGGAGGACCCTTAGCTCCTCAGGGATACACCAGCCCTCCCTGCTCTGGGCAGGGTGCATGTGCCTCCCTAACTTCATATGTCAGGAGTCTCAGGAGGAAAGATTTCCTGGAAAAGAGCAGGTTTATCACTCTGGGGTGTGAATCCCATTTTTCCTGGGTGCTACCAAAGGAGCTGCCTTTGCTGTCATCTTGGCAAGGCAGCAGAAACCTCTACAGAAATTAAGGCTGTGCAGCCAACAGCACTTCTGTTGTGTTGTAGCAGCTGAGTAACGGGGGGAACATCTTGCCAGAGCCCAGAAACCAAAGAGAGCCCCCCCCTTGTGTCCCCTTCCCCATGGTGGCTGGTGCCTGCAGCCCCACCCTGTCCCCAGCTTTGCAGGGTCAGGTGAGTTAAGACTTTTGTACTAATTGGACCTGAAAGGAGAAGAACATAAAAGCAAAAAATGAAAGATGAGCCTTTTCTCCCAGGGAAGAGGTGCTAATGAGTTCCCTCACGTTAGAGGGGAGATGGTTTCTGTGTTAATCAGTGGGATGAAACTGCTTTGCCGGGGGAGTTGGGAGCAGGGCAGCTCGTCTTGGTTTCTCCAAGATGTGTAACTTTATCACCCCTCTCTTGCTGCCCCAAGGAGAGGGAGCAAGCCAGGGTCCTCCTGGGAAAGCATGCCTAGGTGCTGCTGGAGGAGGAGGGGGGAACCAGTCCTGGTGCTTGGCACAGCTTTGGGCTTCCTGAGAACTGGGAATACTGCCTCTGAAGGCCAAGCTTTGGCATCTGCCTTTTTGCACCGAGGTGGCCAGGAGGGGTTTCTGCTGGTTGTTCCCCGTGGAGGCCCTGAGCTCTGCCCAGCCACTCTCTGCTCCAGCCTTGGCCGTGCCACAGTTAATCTGCCCGCTGGGACAGGCACTGTGTGCCGTAAATAAAAGCTGTCGCTTGTGACCCTGAGCTGTGAGGACTCTTGATTACACTCAGCCTGTGCTGCTCGGGGGGTGGAACCAGCAGTTTATAATGTGGGGTTTTTTGCATAAGAGATTTGTTGCATCTCTGTGGTGTGTGTGTGTGTGTGTGTGTGTGTGTGTGTGCACCTTCCGCAGGCAAAGCAGCAGCTGCTGGCTGCCTGCTGCCTCCCACAGTTAATCTGCCCGCTGGGACAGGCACTGTGTGCCGTAAATAAAAGCTGTCGCTTGTGACCCTGAGCTGTGAGGACTCTTGATTACACTCAGCCTGTGCTGCTCGGGGGGTGGAACCAGCAGTTTATAATGTGGGGTTTTTTGCATAAGAGATTTGTTGCATCTCTGTGGTGTGTGTGTGTGTGTGTGTGTGTGTGTGCACCTTCCGCTGGCAAAGCAGCAGCTGCTGGCTGCCTGCTGGCTCCCCCAGCCAGCTTTGCTTTGCAGGAGAGATGGAAAGCTTCATTCCAGGGCGTGCAAACCAACAATGGACATGGTTTGGTTTCGGCAAGTCTGGTTCTGGGTCTCCACGTGCTCACGGGAGGGAGGTGTGGATGCCTGAGCATCTGCCAGTCCCCAGCAGGCACCCACACCCCGGCCCTTGGGAAGATGCTCCAGCACCCACATCCCAGTTCTCAGGGCAGTTCTCTGGTGCAGTGCTCCCCGTGGTGTCTCTTGAAGGGTGGATGCAACCTGGAGCCATCTGAAAGCCAAGGGCTGGCTTTTATCTCAGAGCATTAGCAGGGCTCATTTTCTGATGGATCAATCTGGAAAAAGTGGGAGGGAATCTACTTAGGCCAGAGGAAAGAAACGGAAATAAATCAATTCCAGGGAGTCTTTTAATACTAAATTAGCCCTGAACATTGGAGGGAAGGGGCTCTGGGCATCGAGCAGTGTTTAGTTTCTTCTCTTCACCTGCTTTGCTGTGTAGTGCAGTGGTGTGTGTGGGGCTGGGTGGGTTTAGGTTGGTCCCTGGGACTGTGGGTGGGAGCAGCAGAGGGAACAGCCCCCCAGGGGAGCTGGTCATCCCTGGGAAGGGCATCTCAGTGCTGCCCAGCTCACTTGGGCCACGTGCCCCTCCATGGGGCTGCTGTGCCAGTGGTGAGGCTGGTGCCACTGCTGGGGGCTGTGGGGAAGGAGCCCAGTTCTGGGGTGGCAGGTCGGGCAGGGCTGCCTGGGCTGGGTAGTTCTTTGTCTGAAATCAGCCTGTTCTGCATCTCTGGTCGCTGCATGAATTTTAATAGAAGCCAGGAGCTGATTTCATACTTTTGCATTTCTCTCTGTAAGCAAAGCTGGGCTAAATTTGCCCAGAGCCGCTTCCCTGCCATCTTTCCCATCCCTGCTGCCTGGTTTGGGGGGCAGATTAGATGCTGGCACAGCTGCTGTAGGGACCAGGTGCCACAGGGATCTGGCAGCCAGCGAGGCAGGTCCCAGGGAGCTGGTGCAGGGAGGACATGCTCTGTTAGCTGGAACATGTCTGGATTTTATCCATTTCTGTCATGTCTGACTTGCAGGGCAGTGGCTGCTCCACAGCTGCTGCTGATTCCCGTTCTCTGCTCCCAGGACGGGCTCTCAGGGGAGTAAAAAGCCTTTTTTCCTGGGAAACTGAGCCCTGCTCTGCTGTCAGCAGCTGCTCTCCTCCCTTGCAGAGGGACCAGCTTTGCAGTCAGCAGAGCCTGTCATTTGCATGCAGGGGCTCAGTTGCCAAGAGATGCTGCGAGTGT